TATTTGTATTGCTTGACTGAAATGTAGAAGTTTTGCATATGCTAATTATAGAACTACAATGTAATTTCATCTCGGCAAGCGGGACGAAATATTCCATATGAACGCACGGAAATATTCGTCTCGGTAAGCGAGACGTCCCGGTAACAGATAATACGCAGCTTTCGGAACGAGTTCTATGATTGGTTGCTTTGAGTGAGAAGGTCGAGAAGGTCGAGAAGGATAATGGCTATGTGATTGGCTAACGCTGTATCACGTGCACTATTTATTTAGTGCGTGATAAATTGCCTCTGATAAATTGTTGTTGTTCTGCTTGCTAAAAATATCATGCTTTGAGGGTAAAAATGTAAAATAGCCAGTTATCATAATAGACGGGTTCGACGACTTTTTCAAGAATGTCATGGACCAAACGAGGGACTGGTTCGTGCTCAAATTGCGGCCAAGAGTATTCCACTAGATGGAAGTCCGTGAACTGTAGTATTAAAATGTGGTAGCGACATCGGTGGGACGCGAGAAGTGAAAGCGAAGAGGTCGCGTCTGAATCAGCCAGCAGCAGTACTGATTTATGAAAGTACGCAAGAAAAGCTTTTCTCTGTAAACACAAGTAAACGCGATGACCGTTGCCGTGTGGTTCAGGAAGGTCTACATTTTTGTGTTCACATCAAGTTTAGTTGTGCCCACACTGAAAAGTGCATGTTCGCATAGTGTCGTCGCAAATTTTATGTCTGGACTCTGGCTGTTTGTCGAATTATTTTTCAAGGTAAGATGAAAGTTTGATCACAAATAACAATGCGTTCTGGTCGATACGCGTTGAAACTTGAAGCGAATGAATTAACTGTATTTAAATTATTAAATTTTTAGGTGCATACAAGTCTTCATATAAACAAGTGCAGCTCGTCGATGGTCAGTTTGTAAAAAATCTGATTGAACTTGAACATAGCTTAATAGAACATCGTACTTCAAGGTATAAATAATCACAGTGATAGTTTATTATTAATATTGTTATTATGGGAATATCAATTGAGCAGTATCGTGCCCGCATTGGAACACACAATTGTATACGAATGAAAAATTATAAACTCATTGACTTGTACAAAGATATTGCTATAGCAACCCAGTGTGGAAACTTTATACCAGCAGTTAATACATGTAATAACATGTCAACCGACTTTTGTAAACGATATAATGGTCTGTAAGAATATATCTCTGAGATATGTCCATTGTTAGCATAATGTATAGGAAATAAAATCCTACCGGCCTACATTTTATATATTCACCTGGCTGTGTCACTACAGTTCAGGGCAGGGTTGGCAAATGTTCTTATATTAGTTGTTCTTATATGTTCTTATATTATATAAGAACATTTTTTTGGGAGGCAAAAATGTTCTTATATTTTCTTATATTATTCTCATTAATTATTCTACTTCGAAGTAGTAAATTTTAACTATTTGACATTCATCCTGAAAATAAAATATACAGATAATAGTCGTATAGATACAGCAGTAACAACTTTTTATAATTTTTAAAGCCAAGAGGTTACATTACAGCAACATCTAAAATTGAAGTTGAATCGTCATTTTAGGATTTTGGATGATTTGTTAATATGACGTCATCAAAGTTTTTGAAAATGTTCTTATATTGCAAAAAATGTTCTTATATTAATATAAGAAATAAGAACATTTTATTTTTGAAAAAATGTTCTTATATCCAACCCTGGTTCAGGGTATACTATATTCTTGGTAACGCTTACAATTTCTTGTATTATATAGTTTTGCAGTTCTGACTGAGTACAATCTTAAATTAATCATTACAAATGAATGGTGTCGCCGCCATGCAGAAGCTGACGAATGAAATAAAACTGTCAACAATTAGATTTTGTCTCCCCATCAGGTGTGAGCAGATTCTTCAGTGGTTTTGCAATAGGGGTAGCCTTGAAGGTGCCATTAAAACGATAATTGGGACAAAAACTGACTTAATATTTCTATTTATTATTCATTGCACTGTGTTCTCGGTTTTTCATTGGCTAAGAGCCTACAAAAAATTTTGGGTATTTGTAGGTACCTGTGCTATTTCCAGCAGAAACAATAATCTGCAGAGGTTATTGGACGGCACCCGAGATATTTCAGCGGTATGTTATGTGAAAATACAAATTGGCGGGAAATTTTCAGTTGAATTTACGAAAAGTTAATCAATTCAATGAATATTATTTTATTTGTTTTCAATTGTTGCTTGTTTTGTTTTCTTTCTGTCACAAAATGAATAATAAAACAATTATTGAATTCGGATTGCGCAGGATACCAGAATTATTCAGACCTTGGTCAATGTTATCTGCCGAATTCCTGCTGGATATCCTGCTCAGCCCCATCCAATAATTGTTAAATATATGAAACTGTTATAATTAAATTCTACATGTCCAATGATTCATTCAAGTATTATCATTTATATATAATATGATTTTGTCTGATATTCAGTGGCAAGCTTGCCATGGCAACTGGTCATACCACGCCAATAAACCTGCATCTATTTGACTAATGCAAATTATTAAAAACTTGCATAGCATGATCTGTTGCAATGACTAGCTTCACCACTGACAGTGTTATAAATGTACATACAAAAGCAAGAAGTTATAGAGGGGGGGGGGTGAAAAGGTTTTCGGATTGTCGGATTCCACCAATCTTATTAATACAGCGGATTGCGGATTTATGTAATATTTTGGCTGAGATTGGGGATTTTGCTTGCAATTTAGTTCGAATTTGCAAGGTGTTTGATATTCAAATTGCACTTTTCCTACATACAGAACAGGTGTCTTAGGGGCTGTTTACATGATGGAAGGTGGGATGTCATTATTTTGATGTGTTGAAATAAGTCAGTAGGCTAAACAAAAGTTAAAATGCTGGTTAAGAGAATTCAAATATTGTGGAGAAGATCTTGTAGTTCCAGAAGACTGTTATTATGTTTCGTTTACAGTTAACTAATTAATCTATCTCAAGAAAATAATGAATTTTGCACTGTGACTTGTTTCAATACATCAAAATAACCCCGGCTCACATCTCGTCATGGCAAAGCGGGATCATATATAAAACAGCCCCTTATCCAGCAAATTACGCATGCTGTCTTTGATCCCTTAGGGGTGAGACAGCACTTTCCTTGCGATAGTAACTTCTAGTTTATTTGTATTTTACCCACCGCAAAAGTTTAGCTTATTCAGGGAGGATACACGTGCGTTCACGTGCGTACGAAGCGTATAAGGAATGGATCATTAGCAAATGATGGGGAGTGGTCCATTTGCAACATGTACGATTATTTTTTCAAACTTTTTTGCTTGTGTCGATTATTTTTTTTAATAATCCCTTGCTCGAATTTTTTTTTTTCCAAAAATTTTTGGCGCGGGGGGGGGGTTTAGAACTTAAAAATTTTTTCAGGACGTAAAAATGGGGTCAAAACAATTTTTCAAGACTAACATCAGTTTAGTTAAGGTTTAAAACACATTTTCCCTGACAAATTCTTCTTAAAGCAATTAAAACGCTTTTTTGCACCAATATCTGCTACATTTAGGTTTAGAAATTTTTTTCTCACACCATTTAATACAAAGTTATATCAAAAAACGTTCCAAATTATTTTTCTTTTATTTTCCAAATTTGGGAGCCACCCTTACACTGTACCTCTGATAGGCCCTGTCAACTTATAATTTTCCCTATTGAAAAGTCTCTGCACGAATTTTTTTTTCAAACTTCTGGTGCACGAATTTTTTTTTCTGTTTCCCCTGCTCGATTTTTATTTTTGCTTTTGCCCCCCCCCCCCCCCATCACTTTCCTAATGGTCCGCCCCTAAGTATCATCCGAGTCCGAGTTGCAACTCAAGTCGGAAGTCGGAAGTCGGATCTCGGACTTTCCTGATGAAAATCCGAGTTGTAACTCGGAAATTTTGTTAATGAAAATTCGAGATATCCGGCCGTCAGACTTTCGTTGACCGGAGGCCCTGTTAAGCCTGGTTTCCATTAAATCGTAATCATCGCAATAGTCGCGGAACGCGGCCATCGCTATCGCAAAAAGGGGTTTTAGGTATAAGGTATACTTCTCCAAAGTAATGTAGTTGTAAACTATTAATAACAATAGACTTTGGGTCAAGGCATTTTTTAATACCATGGATTGGTGGGGCATTTGCCCCACAAAGCCCCTTCCTCTGCCCCACCAATGAGGAAAAAAATGGCCTATTGCCCCAAAGCCAGGCCCCAGGACCTGGATGGAGTAAATGAGTTTAACAATGAAAAGAAGTTTAAAATTATAATTTTTTTATCGTTTTATGCTCATAGTGGGAAATGTTACTAAATAATAACCCCCCCGAAAAAATTTTAAAATTTGCATGGGGCTCTGAAACAGCATTTAATGCGTTCTGGCGTCACTTTTAAAATTAATTTAATGATTAGAAAATGCATGTTTTTGAGTGAATTTTTTACTAATACGCGACTCAAACAATTAATTGAACCTTTTCCGAAGCGTATTTATAGCTAGTGCCTATTGTTAAAAAAATAAGACCCGCTAATTGCTGACACATCGATTTTGAGTATACACGCTTTCAATCCAACTCTAACGACAAACTAAAAACCAAACTGCAAGAGCGTGAAAGCTTCGCAATCATTTCCTGATTCTCAATCGCCAAAGCAATGATCAGTGGGTCTAAATACGCTCGGTAGTCCATAATCAAATTTCAATAATAGATTAGACAACGTCAATTTTATGAAAAAGAATATTCTTTAAATTAGTTATATACATGGAAGGTTATAGATTTTCTTTCTTTGGAAAATCTGACAGGCAGGGCCGTAGCGGGGTGATAAGGTCCCCCAACTTTTGTCAGAATTAACATATTCGGAAAATCGGGTTGGCCATTCGGAAAATTACGGCAATGATAGTATAACAAAATTTTAGTTGTTTAAACAGAAAAAATATTATAAAATGGTATTGTTAGTATAAACCATTGGTATAAACTGAGTTACGAAATCACGGCATTTACATGGATAACGTAAAACAAATCGTAAATCGTAAAAAATTTCATCACAGCTTGAAAGAGCATCACAAAATTAGTAATATTCCGAAGTTTCGTTGCGAAATGTTGTAAAATGCGGATAATATGCTGTATATAGCCTTGCGAAATTTGCCATTTTTCATTCATTTTGCATTACAAACGGAAATTCATAATCAGATGACATCATCCATGACGAATCACAAAGAATAATATTACCCATACTCTTTCCTGTAATCACGGTTAATAGAACTAGATGGTTAGGCTAGCTGGACCACGTGACAAATATGTTATTGTTCATTTTTATTTTTGGTCACGTGACGAGGAAAGGGGGTGCTTTGTGATGAGTGACTAGGAAAACATATGAGTGAGAACATAATATGCCAACAAAAGATCATATTTCAAAGTGCTAGAGGGCTTCTGAGATCAAGAGATGAAAATATCGAAGAAAGCGAGCGTCGTGAACAGTTTATGATCGAGGGGACGAAGGCTTTGTTTATACACCGCGTTTGGATAATCGTATTTTTGCCGTTGTTTTAGTATGTCAGGATACGGTTAAACGTTTGAAGTAATATTGAACAGTATGGTTGGCTCTAATTGTGCTTTGTATGGCTGTCCGACCAGCAGAACGCGTGAATTTGCAATTTTTAAAATCCCTGTTGTTGGCGCAGCCGATGTAGTGACTGCGTAGGAGACTACAGCCGATGGTGAACAAGAAGAGAAATGCTCGCGAAGAATGGCTTCGAATTGTTTTAAAGGACTAGAGAAAAGACGGTAGATCTTCAGAAACAAATAAGATTTTCCTTTGTGAGCGTCATTTGAAGCCATTGTAAATTTTGCATTTTATGCATGCGCTTGTGTGATCAGATGTAAACAAAGAGGGCATTGTATTTGCATATTTACATATCCCATGTTTATTAAATATCTATCTTCTGTAGACCCCAAACGAAAGATTTTATAACTGGTAGCGTACCACTGAAAATTTACCTACAATAAACACGAAGTTCCCAAGGCTGAGCGTCGCATTCTCAACGTATAAATACCAGATAAACAACCTACGAATTACACACGTTTATAGTTCAGTGGCTGGCGAGGTGGCTGGTGTGTCCAGTATTGAAATTAAAACTGATGGCAGATTTAGATAATATGCAAATATGGAAAGTAGAAGAAATTCAAGATAACCTAGGAGGTCCAAGGCTCAAAAAGCAATTTAAAATGCAAAAAAAACTTAAGTTTTTCACTATCATATGAAAATGGTTTATGCTTGTTTTGTTCCAAAAGTGGTATATTTGCATGTAAATATTTTTTGTGGTCACTCGATTTTCATACCAAGATTGGTGAATTAAAGGTCATGATATTATATTATCTGGTATTCAACAGAAATAAAGTCAAATCAGGGTACATCAAAGTTTTAATGGGTTAATTAGGGGCTGATTACACATGGAGCATTTTCAACCCTGGGGTTGTCTCCTACAGATCTACAGTTGGGGCCTACAGTTGGGACCTACAAGGCCTGGGCTGAACCCTCGCCCTTGTCTGTAATTTAACACCTTCGTTCACCATACTTACCCGTTTGGATGGTGAGGTGTTAGCCCGGGTGACCGAGGGGTGGCCTGGAACGACTACTGGTACTACTGTTACTTGGACTCGGGTTAAGATCCATACCAGTGGTATCTTGAGCAGACCACCCCCGCAGGGCTAACACCTTCACACCAATTAACAATTGGTGGAAATATAAAAGAACAGGAGAGAAAAAAAATCTTTGTTCCTAATACGTTTACTACGCTTCCAACGCACAATGATTACTAATACCACCAATGCGCGGCCAACCTCTTATTACATACTCGCCCGGCCCCCTTTTGGTCACATGATGTGCCGACGTAACGAGGCTTGGTTCCCTAGCTGTTAACCTTTGTTATTGCATAACCTCATACAAAATGCTATCAAAATCAAATGCATGATTTCAAAATTTTCAATTCAGGGCCAAGTTCAACCCTGCTTCAGCTAGCAGAGTTAAATTTCAACCCCAGGTTGGACTTCGCCTTGGGTTAAAAATTTTATCATGTAATCGTTTCAACAGCAGGGCTGAAATTATTCATAAGTTACTCAAGCATTTGATGAGGTGGTTTTTGTTTTCACTTCCAGGAATGTATAGTATTTCAACCCTGGGGATGAGATTGTCCATGTAATCGCAAAATATTCAACCCAGTTATGTAAACTGTGGGGCAGGGCTGTACTGAATGGTGGCAGATTACCATAATTAAATCACTTCTATTTCGACCAGCCAAGAAAGTTTAATTAAAAACAATATACAATAATTATTGTATAATATATGATAAAATTATTGAATTATGGAAACAGTGTTGTGAACTTCTGACAATCTTTAACAATTAAGAAGTTTATCAAGTTTTATATGTTATCGCATCCCCTTTCTCAATCACTCAATGCCTTTCAATAATTAATGCTATACTTTAAAGATGCGGTACAGTCCGTATGTAAACAAAGGCTTTGTTTACATTTCGGTATCCAAAATATTGAATTTTATTTCACAACTAGTTATATTTTCATGATTCTAGAAATTATCAAGAGACAACAATCAAGCTTTGCAAGAACATAAAATGAAATAAAAACCTAAATAAACTGTTTGTAAATAAAAAGAGGGCTCCTTTGTGCACATGCACAGATTGGACTGTACCGCATCTTTACAGTAATAGTAATAAAGTCTCTGGTGTAGGAAAATGCTCCGACTGTTAAAAATAAAGAAAAACTATATTTTCCGTACAGTTTCTGTGCAGAGCTCGAGGGTTGAACTTCACGAAAAATCACAGCATTTTCCAACAATGCCGACATTTTGCTGGTGTAGTGTTTTATAAAAATCCGATCAAATATGCTCAGGAATATATTTGCTGCTTTATAGTTCTCACAATTTTATAGCTGCTCACACAAACGAGGAATCAAGCCATATAAAAACATTCTAAAATTGTTCCTTGGACAGAATATTGTGTAAAGTGGCCATGCAAAGCATCGAACAAAGCATCAGTAGAGGAAACAGTAGCCAAACTGACCTGAATCGATGTAATATAATCAAACCACGTCCTCTAATAGTCAACGCAGCACGAGTTTTGTCTCTCCCCTTTATAGACTTGCACACTATCTCTCACTGACTAAAAGGAAAAACCCTCTCGCCATCAATTTCTTGTATAGCTTCGGTGAATTCAGCGTCTGTTTCGTCTAACTGTATTCCGTTAGAGCAACAGACACATCAAAGTTGTATAAATCCTCTGCGGTTGCATCGTCTAGTTGCGATAAATGTCTTCGTCCTCTTATGCCTCGATCATAAACTGTTCACGACGCTCGCTTTCTTCGATATTTTCATCTCCAACGTTCAAAATAGGTTCGTATGTTTGTTGGCTTTCTGTTTCAATTTCCACCTGGCTATCTTTAAAACAGGGAACGGGGAATCCGGGAATCCGGGAATCGGGGAATCCGGGAATCGGGGAATCAAGGAATCCGATAACAATTTTATAAAAATTTAAATAAAATTTTTATTCAATTTACAATTTATGCAATAAAAGAAAATGAAGCTTAATCGAAAGTTTGACGTCACACCAAAATTGCAGGACACGAAGTCGTGAAAAAAAACAGTTTAATACTTTTAAACGGGCATTTAATGTAAACTTCACGCAGGATATAAACTAAAGCGAATGTGTAATAGCCATGATTGCGCTAAATTAAAGAGTTTCGGTATGCATTGTCGCCATTTTTTGTTGGCACTTACATGTAATATAATATTTCATTGCTTTGATTGTGATTGCGATTGTCAAATATAATAGCGGTAACACGTTTGCAAGTCGCTTTTTCCTGCTGACATTCATGATGTAATATGATATTTCATTGCTTTGATTGTGATTGTCAAATATAATAGCGGTAACACGTTTGCCAGTCGCATTTTTCCTGCTGACATTCATGTCTGGAGTGCATGGAAGCTTTAAAATGCCATCGCTAATAAAGCGAAGGCGAATAGATCATGGTCTGCCTCCAACTGTAGTTTTACTAACCAAGACTGAAGACCAGAGATAAATTTGTACAACTGAAAGTCTGAAACTATACTTTAACAAAACTTTATTTGTAAATGTTGCGGAGTTTGTACTTTGCTCTCGCCTGATTATGTTTTTCGTGACTTCGAGTTGTATTTCAGGTAAAATCCTCCGACACCCCTCAACTTCAGATGCTTCGCTACGTGCCTCATCATCATCATCATCATCAATCAATTTTATTTAAAATCAAAACACGCTAGCCTCGCACAACTAAAAGCTGATTTACAGGAGGGGCGTGATGTATAAAACAGTAGAATATATGGAATATTATATGAACCCCCCAACCTCCCCCCAACAACAAACTGAGAAAAATAAAGTGAAGTAAAGTAAATAAAGAGAGTTAACTATAATTAAGTCAACATGGTTCTAAAAGGACAGTTCCGCAATACTACGCTTAAATTGACTGAGCGAAGTCGCTCTTTTTGCGCTTGCCCTCGTGCTTTTTGCGACCACAGCGCATGAACATGACCTGTTGTTGGTATCGGTATTCGAAGTCGAACTTAAACTCTCTATTTTCCCGTACAACTCGAACGGTCGAAGTCACGAAAAACATAATCAGGCGAGAGCAAAGTACAAACTCCGCAACATTTACAAATAAAGTTTTGTTAAAGTATAGTTTCAGACTTTCAGTTGTACAAATTTATCTCTGGTCTTCAGTCTTGGTTAGTAAAACTACAGTTGGAGGCAGACCATGATCTATTCGCCTTCGCTTTATTAGCGATGGCATTTTAAAGCTTCCATGCACTCCAGACATCATGAATGATGAATGTCAGCAGGAAAAAGCGACTGGCAAACGTGTTACCGCTATTATATTTGACAATCACAATCAAAGCAATGAAATATCATATTACATCATGAATGTCAGCAGGAAAAAGCGACTTGCAAACGTGTTACCGCTATTATATTTGACAATCGCAATCACAATAAAAGCAATGAGATATTATATTACATGTAAGTGCCAACAAAAAATGGCGACAATGCATACCGAAACTCTTTAATTTAGCGCAATCATGGCAATTACACATTCGCTTTAGTTTATATCCTGCGTGAAGTTTACATTAAATGCCCGTTTAAAAGTATTGAACTGTTTTTTTTCACGACTTCGTGTCCTGCAATTTTGGTGTGACGTCAAACTTTCGATTAAGCTTCATTTTCTTTTATTGCATAAATTGTAAATTGAATAAAATTTTTATTTAAATTTTTATAAAATTGTTATCGGATTCCCGGATTCCCCGATTCCCCGATTCCCGGATTCCCCGATTCCCGGATTCCCCGATTCCCGGATTCCCCGATTCCCCGATTCCCCGATTCCCGGATTTCCCGATTCCCGGATTCTCCGATTCCCCGATTCCCCGATTCCCCGATTCCCCGATTCCCGGATTCCCGGATTCCCCGATTCCCCGTTCCCTGTTTTAAAGATAGCCGATTGAATTCAGAACCGTACATCGCATTTATAGTTCGCGTTCATGTGTTGACACGGGAATTGGTACGGTCAGCTGGGCTCTACTTGGTCTGGTTTGATACGTCCTAGGAGAACACCCATGAGAAATCATGAAAACTTAAGTATGGTCTGAGACTCAAGTTTGAACTGTCTTGCTTTGCGTGAACACGCGACCCATGAAGGCGGACAATTCCAGCTCAGGGGCCGGTTGCTCGAAGCCCGTTTAGCTTAAACGGTTGATAAGTCAATATTAAATAACAGATTCACACGTTTTATAAATGACTGAACTTAAATCTCATGCACTAAATATACAGTTGCAAACATAATTGTTCTACTCAAGTTGAAATATTTTAGTTTGGTTACTTGTTGAATGTATAAACTTGATCAATATTTTCGACTTATCCACCGTTTAGCCTAAACGGGCTACGAACAACTGGCCCCAGATAACCGCAATATTCCCGTGTGGAACAAATGAACAAATGCGACTAATTTGCGTCCAGTTGCGATCTCGTCTGCTCTCGTGTGAATGTAATGTAGAAATATGAACAAACTTACCAGAAATTTTCACAGCAACAATGTTTCACTGTATAGTGTAGATAAGGTCGTTCTTTCTGTAAAACAATGCTTTTCTATCTGAATGTATTACAAAACATCTTGTGATCATCTGCGATCTCAAGTGGCTTTATGACTTCCTGTCTAGGAATTACACAATTTTCAAAATGTGTTGAGGTTGTTATTATTATGAATATAGAAGTTACATTTTAATCATTTTAATGCGTATATATATAGCTTGAAAAGTTCAAAATATGGCATTTCTTGTTTTCTTGTACTCGGATATATTACGTCATTTTGTGGAAGCGATATTTCCATGTAATAGTATACGGAGAAATCGGGCACTTCACTATGAAAATCCACTATGACGACAGGAAGATTACAATAAGGATTAGGGTTGTGGTTTTACAAAAGGTTAGGATTTGGGTTATGGTTATGGTAAGGGTTATGGTTGGGTTTTTCCTAAAAACATTAGTGTCCTGTATCTGTCTTAACTTCAATGGAAGTGAGTTTCATACTGGAACACTTTTTAACTGCGAATGATTTTCGGTCAGTTGAACAAAAACTTGACACATAGTCAGTGAAAGAAATACAGACAGACGGGGGAAACATTCCCGGGGAAAATACCCTAAAAACACCGAAGAAATATACCCCGGAACAAATTACCTTGAAGAAATGTCGCGGAGGAAAATACCCCATAAACACACGGTTTGGTGGAAATGTCTGCTCTTCCTGACATTCATATTATGAAAAGAACGACACGATCATCAGCAAGTAATAACGCTAAATATGTCGTCCGCAAATGTAAAACCAATACCTACCAGCAGTCGTTTTTTGTCAGAACGTGTCGAAATATGGAACTCTCTCGTAGATGAACTAAATTATGACACGAACTGCTTCAATTTCTTTAGATCAGCCTTACTGGAATATTACCACAAATCTTTAGAAGTTAATTATAATCCTGATAATCCTCGAACATTTAAAACTATATGCCTGAAATGTAACTCTGTACGAAGTCTTACATATCCGTTATCCTGCTGCTTTTAGTAACTACTATTGTTTGTTCGTAGGTTTGTTAGTCTGTCCAGTTGAATGTCTGTTGTTTGTTTGATTGTATCCAATTGGGCCCGCAGTAATTGGCAATAAGCTGTTGCGGTGTCCCGGCCACTCTGTGTAATTTTATGCCGGCAAAGTTAATAAATAAAATGCACAGTTTACCAACTGGACAGTCCTACCAGTTTTTCCAGATTGTAGATGTGTGTGTTGGCGCAAGCTTTACGGGCCTTTAGTTGCAAACTTACAAGCCTGTTGTTGTGCTTTCGTTGCAATATAACACAAGTTGGAAAAGACTATATATGCCTTAGCTAAGTTACCCCTAACGCAACAATACTATACGAACACACTTTTTTGGAGGTAAAGGGTAAAAATGATAGTTTGACAGGTTTTTAGTGAAACTGGCGTTTAACGTAGATCGAGGCGCGAAGGTACCACAAACTTAAACTATATAACTTGTAGCAATATTTGTGAAAACTATTCTCTCGTCTATTTTATAACCGACTATCTTTTGAAAGAAACTGGATAAAAATTCCCCCGAGTAATGGTACGGATTTCCTCAAACGCGTGTCTACTGTATATAGGGTGTTCTGTAACCTTCATTTGTAAAAAATAGTCGCTGAAAGGGAAGATTAGCATGCTAAGGTTTTTTTCAACGAAACTACATGTTCAATATTTACACAGGGATTATATAGGTTATATCTAAAACTTTTACATGATTAAATTGATGAAAATCTTTGTTGAAACAAATACTAGTTATAGGAAAAGTAATTTATGCATACAATATTTACATAGAAATTATACAAGTTATATATAAAGTGGAAACACAATACGCTTCCCAGTAAAGTTAACCCACTGATCTCAAAACACTGGATAGAGTTTCCTTTTGTATTCAATAAACCAATTTTGAAGTCAGAATATTTATAATCAGATGAGATCTTAAAGTCTGTCAAAATCTCTGCAAATCGTATCGCGACGTGTTTACATTAGCTACATTATGAAGCAAATGTCTTTTCCTATGTAACTTAAAAAATATATCTTCCCATATTTCTTCTAATGAGTTTTATAACGTTTTAAACACTAGATAATGAGACTTGTGGCAGCCATCTTGGTGTGACATCAGTTATTCACGAGCAAATTTAAGGGGGAAGAGAGGCGACTGTTGATAAATTTCTATTCAGACAATGTTTATCCTTTCTCAGCGATAACTAGAAACTGTAAGAATCTCTTATACTATGTCATCAACACCACAGTAGATTTGTGCTGCTCACATCAATATGGCCGACATTGTCTTCATTTCTGCCTAGAGGATGCACTATCCAGTGGTAGGGTTTGAGATCAGCGAGTTAACCCAAGTGCAGGTCATTGATGATGGTTATAATTTCATGTCGTGTAGATACTAAATATGCAAATGAAAGGGAAATAAATAACATTGACTGAAGCCTGAGCATTAAACAACCCTGAACCGTAACCATCATTGAAGAGTTAGAACTCATGGCCCGTGTTTTATGATCAGGTTTCAGTCGATGTTATTTATTTTCTTTTGTGTGCATATTTAGTATCTACAGGACATGAAATTATAAATCTGATGATCAACTCTCATGGCACAAAGTACCGTAAATGATCCAATAAACGCCCTGGGCATTTTTAAATTTTCGTACCTTGAAGGGGGCGTTTATTAGATAAAGGCGTCTGTTAGAGAATGGCGTTTATTCTTACATACGGCATATCTAGGCTTCTTAAATAACACTTTCCAAGAGTTTGCAGAGTGAACGAAAGTCAAAATTTTCAACTTTTATAGCTCTTACATTCCATTACACATATATGCCCAACATTAATAATTTAATAAGCGTTCAATCTAATTAATGTTTAATTAAATAATTTAAATCTTGAAAACTCTTCAGTAGGGCGAGGAGCGTTTATCACATACCAGGCTTTTTAAAGAGAGACGCATCTATTTTAACAAAGTCTGGGTTGACCGCGGTGTCTATGAGATAGAAGGCGTTTATTAGAGAGTGGGCGTTTATTGGATCATTTATGATATTCATGCAAAGACGAATAAGAAGTTTATATGGAGTACTTACATGGAGGTTTTAATATAGCAGTTGCGAAGTATCTTTTTTCCTTCATCCCTGGAAGCTCTCTCCAATGATCATCTCCCATTGTGAAACTTTCTACTGAGTTGAGAAATCCCTCCTCCTTATTTCTTCCTCCCAATACAACAATGACGTCATGCATAATTACTGCTGAGGAACCACTCCTCTTGTGTATCAGTGGAGGCAACTTCTGACTTTGTCCTGATTCAGTGTCGTACATGGTGACTTCATTTAAGACCTGGCCATTCTTATCCTTACCGCCAATAAGTATGACCATGTTGCCCCAAGTAACTGAGGACATTCTACAGACAGACTTGGGTAACGGTGTACATGGCTCGACCTCATTCTTGATGAAATCATACACGACAACGCTATCAATGGCGCCTTCACTATGGTTTGTTGTCGATCCTCCCAAGATAAATAGTTTGCCATTTACAATCTCTGCTCTGTGTAATCTTCTTGGCTGAGGCATTCTAGCCAGCAGCTTGGCAGTATAAGGCGGGATAATAGACAGCTCGTAGATGTTATCGGTTGTTTTCTTTTCACTCCCGTTATAGCCTCCCATGACGTATAGTTTACCTTGATAAACTATAACGTCATGACCAGATAACTTGACCGGCAGTTTACCATCAAAGATCATCCATCGTAAAGAATCCTGGTTTATCTTTAAAATCTCAATGCTGTCTGTACCAGCTTGACCATCGTAGCCGCCAGTGATGATGACGTCACCGTTGTAAACACATGATGCCGATGCTGCTCGAGGATGATTTAGTTTTGGTAGCCGAGTCGACTTCCCTTCTACTATGTTGAATTTCTCAACTGTATTGGATACACTTTTACGTCCTGGGGCATACCAACCGCCAAGAACAATAATGTCTTTGTTGTTGACTGGAACTGGTGGATCTAAAACTTCAGCGCCATTGTTGTTTAAATTTCTTCCTTGCAACAGCTGATTCAACATTACTGTCATTCTTTCGAATTGGTTCCTTACCTCGACTTCAAACGCCATTTGATCTGCTTTCATTTCTGCTTGAGTTTGCTTCATCTCGTCAACATTATCCTGAATAGTAAAATTAAAAACTTTAAAGTGTGCCTATGTCATGATTTGTGTAATTTATTATTTGTAGTTATTGGTGTATTTTATGAAGAAATGCAATATATCGTTAAAAGAAAATATTCCATCTTTGCAGGATTATCAGGGGCCGGTTGTATAAAAACGTAGTTAGCACTAACTGCAGTTAAAAAGTAGTTAAAAAGCCTTAAGAAGTAGTTAACTTTAATCACGTAGTTAAGCCGGTTGTATAAAAGTGTAGTTAGCCTTAACTGCAGTTAAAAAGTAGTTAAAGTTAACTATGCTTTAGGGTATAGTTAACTGTCCAAAACGTAGTTAAAAATGGCGTTTGTATAGGAGTGAACAACATTTTTCAGTAAAACAACAATGAAAAGCAACGGTTACCTGAGATTTTCAATCGCTATCTTCCCTGTGAATGTTTCCTGACAATATAAACTCTTCAAACGCTATCGCTTTGGTGTTTTTACGAAAACAGAACATATTTTTGCACAGGACGATTTCTCGAAGACGAAGTATGGTCCATTACACCAAGAAACACTGATATATAATTGCCAAACAGCTATACCTTGGTTTAACATAGGCATCTCAAGGAAAAACTGCATTCTTTTATGATTTTTGTGGCGGTTTTTCCTTGTTTTCTTGTATATTTTTCACTGTTTTCTAGTGTTTTGAATAAAATTCCCGCCTATTTGCAAAATACGAGTCCACAATCATGTTGAAAATGTGTGTCAGCGGTCGTTACTCGCTGCTTACTTTATGTAATTTTGTGTTTAAACGCCCCACGCAAGCCCCACGCACAGTTAACTACGTGATTAGTTAACTACCCGACTAACTACGTTTTGTGCAACGCAGTTAAGTCATGTAGTTAACTAATTACAGTTAAGGATTTAACTACAGTGATTAACCCTAACTACAGTTAGCGCTAATTACGTTTTTATACAACCGGCCCCAGGCCTCAAAGTTACCGGATATGACATCAAACCGGGAATTGCAAATTAGATTTATTTTGTTTCTAGCGTATAAAATTCCCGATTTGATGTCATATCCGGTAACTTTGAGGGCTGATAATCCTATGAAGATGGTATATTTTCTTGTAAAGATATATTGCATTTCTTCATAAAATGCACCACAGATAAAAATATTTAAAATTTCTAAATCATGACATAAGCACTTTAATGGTCAGATATCTCAGAGATGACTCTGCATACATTTTGATAAAATATAGTTCAGGCAGTGATTAAAAATACATCACTCATAATTGTTCTGTTTTGTGGAAAACATCAGACTGATCGTTTTTTGACAAAGCTTGCAATCCGTAAGCTCAAATCTTTGTCAGTAAAATAATTTGTGCAATGACGAAAATCTTAGGGCTTACAGGATGAAAGCTTTGCAACGTTTTCAGGTATAGACGTATGTAGCGTTTTTACGAGTGAAACATGCAGAATTGTTCGACAACTTTTCTTATTTTCATTTTATTTACTTTTGACGTTTATAACATCTTGAGATTGCTTCATCTCGTCAACATTTTTCTATAAGTTAAAGTAGAAGTGTCAAGACATCTCATTGATGACACGGACCACAAACTCGTGGTCACACGTGGCCCACGCGTGACCAGGTGACCACGAGTTAAAAAAAAGATTCAGAATAAATTATGCTTATTTACAAAATATACTTATTTACTTATTTACAAGATGTGATTATTTAATAGATGATGGACAGATTTTAAACTTGTTGACTCTCTTAGGGTTTTCAACAAGTTTATTGGGATGTTCTTCCAATACGCTGCTCCTCTGTACGAAAGGCTATTTTTTAAGAAATTCGTTTTTGGTCTAGGTTGAGACAACACCGCGGAAAAACGTCTGCGCATGCACCAAATTATGAAAATATGGCGGGGAATTTGAATATCAATTTCTAAAACAAAAACATGCTTATTAATTGGTCAAAAATTAGTAAAACAAACGAGAAAATATAGCAAATGGGTAGACTAGACATTAATTGAAAGCGTCCTGGCATTTAAAGTATGGAATGAAATATAATTCATGTAAGAAATTGTTGATTTTAACGGACACGACTTCGAAAATTTTTGAAAAATTATTCTAAACAAAAATTCAAACTCAAAAGTTAAGAAAACTCTCGAAAAGTTAAGGTTCTTAACCCACTCAAATTGAAGAATAAATCCTAAAGTTTAATTATTGTGAACACGAAAATTTTTTATATTTGGCGACACAGTTTTTTTTAAAGAAATGTATCTCAAACGAAAATTCGGAAATTGTCGTTGCTTAGTTGATAAACAAAATGTTTCAGACGATAAATTTGTCAACAATCACCTTTAGTTCATGTTATTGTACAATACAATTTCTTGAACCTTCTGGCTGTATTTATTCCTAGTTTTTAGAATGACATGTTTATTTTTGCACTCGAAATCTGGCTGTAAAGACGCACAATGAAGTCACTCCTTTTTAACGCCATTTTGAGCCTTCGGAAACGTTCGGAACAGCTTTTCATCAAGTTCGCAATACTATTATAGGTAAGGTTGACGCATGCGCAGACGTTTTTCCGCGGTGTTGGTTGAGACAGCTTTAAATTACTACTGCGCAGTACGTATAACCACTGTTTTCACAAGTGTGAAATAGTTGTGTTACGTATTCTGGAAGCATGCCATTAATTGCTTTAAATGTCTTAAAAAGATCTCGCTTTTTCAAAATTAAGTCAAGAGGTTTCCAGCTAAGTTTTTGAAAAGTGTCAGAAGATCTTATAGTATAGTCCGAATTTATTATTATTCTTGCTGCTCGTTTCTGAAGTTTATACAATTTGTCTATTAAGTGTGTTTGGTTGTTATTTTGCCAAACAGTTGAACAGTAGTTGAAATGAGGCATGACTAATGCGTTATACATAATTTTTAGCCTGTCTAGGCCAACAAAATCTTTGGCTTTTCTTAAAAGATTAATATTTTTTGATATCTTGTTGCATTGTTCTTCATTTTGCCTGTTCCAGCTAGGTCTATCGTCTATAACTATACCCAAAACTTCTTTTTTATAAACTCGTTCAATTTGATGTCCGTTTATACTGATTTTTGGCACGTGATCTAAGTTTTTCAATCGTTGCCGAGATCCAATAATCATATATTTAGTTTTTTCGTTGTTTAATGTTAGTTTATTCGCTGATAACCATTTTTGAGCATTTACTAGGTCTTTGTTAAGTTTGTATTCGATATCTATATGGATAAATGCCCTTAACATGATAAAATTGTGTCATCAGCAAATGTTTCTAGGCTCTAATATTGCTCTTATAGCAAATTAAATTACTTTTTAGGCTTTTCTATTTATCAACAAGACGCTCTACGGAGCGTTAACTCGCTGGGGCTATACAAATACGCACATTACTGTACAAATTAAGTTACTTTTTAGGCTTTTTTATTTAACAATTAGTCGCCTCAGGCTCGATGATTACTGTACAAGCCTATATCCACTGAAGCGGCGTAGGCGCCGAGCTTCAATTTGATTGGCTTAGAAGTGGTACAATTTAAGCTCAACATGGAGAATAGCAGAATAATAATCTCATTGTCTGTGACAAAGAGCAGAATTTCATAGTTTCCAGTCTTACTATTATTAAGTTGTATAGTCTTAAAACTTGCCATTTTTGTATTCTGATCTTACCTTGGTTTCCTCCACTTGATAATTTATTTCATCATATTTTCTTTTAATTCCTGCGAAGTGACGTTCCATTTTCTCTTTTTCTTCATTTCTACTTGTTTTCATCTCATCTTGATTTGCTTTCATCTCATCTTGATTTGTTCTTATATGATTTTGATTTTGAATAGTTTGATCCAGTTGTGCTTCTATTATTACAATGTGATGATCTTTAATTACATTTTGATTTCGTATAATTTCGTCCTGATCTTCCGTTACTTTATTCAGTTGCTGTTCGATTGCATCTTGTCTTCGATTTATTTGCTCCTGACGTTCGCTTATTCCTTCTTGTCTGTCAATAATTTCATTGCTTATATCTTGTTGACTGGCAATAATTTCATCCAGTTGTGGCATCATTACATTTATTCTTTCTTCAATGTCATCTAATTGATTTATATTCGCCATGAAAGTATCTGTTAAATATAAAACAACTGTCAATATTTCCCAGCAACAACAAAGGAAATTGCTATCTTATTTACACAGAGATTTGAACTCGCAATTTCAGCGGTCTTGCCCTATAAAACCTGATTTTATTCTACATTTTTAGGTTATCTTATAAAGCCTGATTTCTACTAGTCCTGACTGCTCGCACGAAGTAACCCGCTAGGGGCTCTTGCATCTCATTAAAAAGGACTTACAATTAAAAATTCGTACATTGAGACTGCGCGATCGTACGAAATCTGATGAATTCAGAACCGTATACATCGCATTAGTTCGGTTTCATGTGCAGTGTTGACACGGGAATTGGTACGGAGAGCTAGGCTCTAGTTCGTCTGGTTTGATACGTCCTAGGAGAACACCCATGAGAAATCATGAAAACTTGAGTATGGTCTGAGACTACGTTCAATGCTCAAGTTTAAACTGTCTTGCTTCGCGTTAACACGCGATCCACGAAGGAGGACAATTGGAGCTCAGATAACCGCACGAATTCCCGTGTGAATATAAAATGAAACGCGACTAATTTGCGTCCAGTTGCGATCTCGTCAGCTCTCGTGTGAATGTAATGTAGAAATATGAACAAACTTACCAGAAATTTTCACAGCAACATGTTCCACTGTAGATATTCGTTCTTTCTGTAAAACAATGCCTTTCTATCTGAATATATTGCGAAACATCTCGTGATCAAGCTGTGATCTCAATTGGCTTTCTGACTTCCTGTCTAGGAATTACGCATTTTTCAAAATATGTTGATATATTTCACAGAAATAACAATTCTACACATCATTTGTTATTATTATGAATATAGAAGTTACATTTTAATCATTTTAAAGCGTGTATATAGCTTGAAAAGTTCAAAATATGGCATTTCTTGTACTCAGATATATATTACGTCATTTCATGGAAGCGATATTTCCATGTAATAGTATACGGAGAAATCGGGCAACGTCACAAGGATTATTCCACTATGACGTGAGAAGGATTAGGATTATTATAAGGATTAGGCTTGTGGTTTTACAAAAGGTTAGGATTTGGGTTATGGTAAGAGTTATGGTTGAGTTTTTCCTCAAAACATCAGTGTCCTGTATCTGTCTTCACGGAAAGTGAGTTTCAAGCTGGAACTCTTTTAACTGCGAATGATTTACCACCTTCAGTGATTTGAACATTTGAACAAACACTTGACATGAAGTCAGTGAAAGAAATACAGACATCGGGGGAAATATTCCCTGGGAAAATACCCTAAAAAACACCGAAAAAAAGTACCCTGGAACAAATTACCATGGAACAAAATGTCGCGGAGGAAAATACCCCATAAACACATGCACAGTTTACCAACTTGACAGTCTTACCAGTTTTACCAGATTGTAGATCGTACATCGCATTTATAGTTCGCGTTCATGTGTTCACACGGGAATTCGTACGGACAGCTGTGCCGTCTAGTTCGTCTGGTTTGATACGTCCTAGGAGAACACCCATGAGAAATCATGAAAACTTGAGTATGGTCTGAGGCTACGTTCAATGCTCAAGTTTGAACTGTCTTGCTTTGCGTTAACACGCGACCCATGAAGGCGGACAATTCCAGCTCAGGGGCCGGTTGCTCGAAGCCCGTTTAGCTTAAACGGTTGATATAAAGTCAAAATTAAATAACAGATTCACAGATTTTGTAAATGACTGAACTTAAATCTCATGCACTAAATCTATAGTTGCAAACATAATTGTTCTACTCAAGTTGAAATATTTTAGTTTGGTTACTTGTTGAATGTATAAACTTGATCAATATTTTCGACTTATCCACCGTTTAACCTAAACGGGCTACGAACAACCGGCCCCAGATAACCGCAATATTCCCGTGTGGAACAAATGAAACGCGACTAATTTGCGTCCAGTTGCGATCTCGTCTGCTTTCGTGTGAATGTAATGTAGAAATATGAACAAACTTACCAGAAATTTTCACAGGAACAATGTTTCACTGTAGATAAGGTCGTTCTTTCTGTAAAACAATGCTTTTCTATCTGAATATATTACGAAACATCTTGTGATGAAGCTGTGATCTCAAGTGATTTTATGACTTCCTGTCTAGGAATTACACAATTTTCAAAATGTGTTGATATACTTCATAGAAATAACAATTCTACACATCAGTTGTTATTATTATGAATATAGAAGTTACATTTTAATCATTTTAATGCGTATATATAGCTTGAAAAGTTCAAAATATGGCATTTCTTGACTTCTTGTACTCGGATATATTACGTCATTTTGTGAGAGCGATATTTCCATGTAATAGTATACGGAGAAATCGGACACTCCACTATGAAAATCCACTATGACGTCAGGAAGATTACAATAAGGATTAGGGAGTTTTACAAAAGGTTAGGATTTGGGTTACGGTAAGGGTTATGGTTGGGTTTTTCCTAAAAACATATTAGTGTCCTGTATCTGTCTTAACTTCAATGCAAGTGAGTTTCATACTGGAACACTTTTAACTGCGAATGATTTTCGGTCAGTTGAACAAAAACTTGACACATAGTCAGTGAAAGAAATACAGACAGACGGGGGAAACATTGCCGGGGAAAATGCCCTAAAAACACCGAAGAAATATACCCCGGAACAAATTACCATGAACAAATGTCGCAGAGGAAAATACCCATAAACACATGCACAGTTTACCAACTTGACAGTCTTACCATTATTACCAGATTGTAGACGTGTGTGTTGGCGTGAGCTTTGCGGGCCTTTAGTTGCAAAGTTACAAGCCTGTTGTTGTCCTTTGGTTGCAATATAACACAAGTTGGAAAAGACTAAATATGCCTTAGCTAAGTTACCCCTAACGCAACAATACTATGCGAACACACTTTTAGAGGTAAAGGGTAAAAATGATAGTTTGACAGGTTTTTAGTGAAACTGGCGTTTAACGTAGATCGCGGCGCGAAAGTACCACAAACTTAAACTATATAACTTGTAGCAATATTTGTGAAAACTATTCTCTCGTCTATTTTATAACCGACTATCTTTTGAAAGAAACTGGAAAAAAATTCCCCCGAGTAATGGTACGGATTTCCTCAAACGCGTGTCTACTGTATATAGGGTGTTCTGTAACCTTCATTTGTAAAAAATAGTCGCTGAAAGGGAAGAGAGAAATTAGGTTTGTTGTCTTGGGAAAGGTCTGTCATTTTCCAGTCAAAATAGCAAACTGAAGAATTTAAAACTAACCAACGAATAAAAACAATACAGAATAATATGCGCTAATATTCGTGGCCGTTGCTAGTTGGGGAGGGGGGGGGGACACCCACAAATAGTATACAAAATAATGATATTGGTTGCCATCAAAACTCACAAAAAAATATTATTTATTATGACTATACATTTATATATACTTATTTCAAATTAATTCAATGTTCTACTTATTACTAATGTCAATGTTCAGATTCATGTTTTTGTTCAACAAAAGGTATATTAGCATGCTAAGGTTTTTTCAACGAAACTACATGTTCAATATTTACACAGGGATTATATAGGTTATATCTAAAACTTTTACATGATTAAATTGATGAAAATCTTTGTTGAAACAAATACTAGTTATAGGAAAAGTAATTTATGCATACAATATTTACATAGAAATTTTACAAGTTATATATAAAGTGGAAACACAATACGCTTCACAGTAAAGTTAACCCACTGATCTCAAAACACTGGATAGAGTTTCCTTTTGTATTCAATAAACCAATTTTGAAGTCAGAATATTTATAATCAGATGAGATCTTAAAGTCTGTCAAAATCTCTGCAAATCGGATCACGACGTGTATCAATTAGCTACATTATGAAGCAAATGTCTTTTCCTATGTAACTTAAAAAATGTAGCTTCCCATATTTCTTCTAATGAGTTTTAGAACCTTTTAAACACTAGATAATGAGAGTTGTGGCAGCCATCTTGGTGTGACATCAGTTATTCACGAGCAAATTTAAGCGGGAAGAGAGGCGACTGTTGATAAATTTCTATTCAGACAATGTTTATTTTTTCTCAGCGATAACTAGAAACTGTAAGAACCTCTTACACTATGTCATCAACACCACAGTAGATTTGTGCTGCTCACATCAATATGGCCGACATTGCCTTCATTTCTGCATAGAGGATGCACTATCCAGCGCTAGGTTTGAGATCAGTGAGTTAACCCAAGTGCAGGTCATTGATGATGGTTATAATTTCATGTCGTGTAGATACTAAATATGCAAATGAAAGAGAAATAGATAACATTGACTGAAGCCTGAGCATTAAACAACCCTGAACTGTAACCATCATTGAAGGGTTATAACTCAGGGCCGGTGTTTTACGATTAGGTTTCAGTCAATGTTATTTATTTTCTTTTGTGTGCATATTTAGTATCTACAGGACATGAAATTATAAATCTGATGATCAACCCTCATGGCACAAAGTACCGTAGATGATCCAATAAACGCCCTGGGCGTTGATTAAATTTTCGTACCTTGAGGGGGGCGTTTATTAGATAATGGCTTCTATTAGAGAGGGGCGTTTATTCTTACATACCGCATATCTAGGTTTCTTAAATAACACTTTCCAAGAGTTTGCAGAGTGAACGAAAGTCAAAATCTTTAACTTTGATAGCTCTTACATTCCATTACACCTATATGCCCAACATTAATAATTTAATAAACGTTCAATCTAATAAATCTTTAATTAAATTATTTAAATGTTGGAAACTCTCCAGTAGGGAGAGGGGCGTTTATCACATAAGAGGCTTTTTAAAGAGAGACGCATCTATTTTAACAAAGTCTGGGTTGACCGCGGTGTCTATTAGATAGAAGGCGTTTATTAGAGGGTGGGCGTTTATTGGATTATTTATGATATTCATGCAAAGGCGAATAAGAAGTTTATATGGAGAGCTTTTCAGTTGCGAGGCTCTACTACAGCATTTGCAAAGTATCTTTTTTCCTTTATTCCTGACAGTTCTCTCCAATGATCATCTCCCATTGTGAAACTTTCTACTGAGTTGAGATACCCCTCCTCCTTATTCCATCCTCCCAATACAACAATGACGTCATGCATAATTACTGCTGAGGAACCAGTCCTCTTGTGTATCAGTGGAGGCATATTCTGTCTTTGTTCTGCCCCAGTGTCATACATGTAGACGTCATTTAAGACCTGGTCATTCTTGTCCTGTCCGCCAATAAGTATAATCATGTTACCCCAAGTAACTGTGGACATATCACAGACCGGCTTGGGTAACGATCGACATGATTTGAACTCATTCTTGATGAAATCATACACGACAACGTTATCAATGGCGTCTTTACAAAGGTCTGTTGTCGTTCCTCCCAAGGTGAATAATTTGCCATTTACAATCTCTGCTCTGTGGTATCTTGTTGGCTGAGGCATTGTAGCCAGCGGCTTGGCAGTATAAGGCGGGATAATAGACCGTTCGTAGATTTGATCGTTTGTTTTGTTTTCATTCCAGTTATATCCTCCCATGACGTATAGTTTATCTTGATAAACTGTGACGTCATGAGCAGATAACTTGACTGGCAGTTTACCATCAAACATCCATCGCAAAGGATCCTGGTTTATCTTTAAAATCTCAATGCTGTCTGTACCAGCTTTACCATCGAAGCCGCCAGTGATGATGACGTCACCGTTGTAAACACATGATGCTGACTCTGCTCGAGGGCGATTCAGTTTTGGCAGGTGAATCGACTTCCCTTTTGCTATGTTGAATTTCTCAACTGTATTCGATACACTTTTAAGTCCTGGGGCATAAATACCACCAAGAATAATAATGTCTTGGTTATTGTCTGGAACTGGTGGATCTAAAGCTTGAGCAGCATTGTTGGTTATATTTCTTCCGTGCAGCTGATTTAACATTTCTGTCATTCTTTGAAATTGGTTTCTTACCTCGGCTTCAAACGCCATTTGATCTGCTTTCATTTCTGCTTGAGTTTGCTTCATCTCGTCAACATTTTCCTAATTAAAGTAGAAGTGTTAAGATATCTCATTGATGACACTGATCCCTGGGGGCAGTGAACCTATATGCTGAAAGTAGGCCTGGCCAAATATCAAGACAATGCATTCAACAGGGGCGTAACGAGGCCATTACGCTCGGGGGGAGGGGGGGTTGGTGTATTCCGCCAAACTTGCCGACGAAAATCCCCCCCCCCTAAAATCCTGGGGGGGGGGTCTTTAAAATTTCGCGAGTGCGAACAGCTCGTTCATAATTTTACCTAACGTTTTAGTCGGTATATGTCCATTTACCGACGATTGTATCAATTTACCGACCATTTCCAAACTCTACCGACCCCGCGCTCTGTACGCCCCGCCCACCTTCACTGTGTACGACCCTGCTCTATTTATAAAAACAATTGATGCACGCCAAGGCAATATTAACATTTAACTTATCTTTATTTTAATAAAATGGTCGTTTGATGAATTTTATCTGCATTTAGCACCCTTTTATGTTCCTGACCCAGTAGACGCCATGTACGCTACAGGGTACCTATTTTTATAATATGATGTACATTATTTAAATACATGTACATTATCTGCCCAAGCAAATTGTCAAGATTTATGCGATAAACTCGTTTTTATAATCTTGTTTTTGATGACACAAAACCCATGCATTACGTAACACTCGCGCGCCTCACTGCTTCGCCTTATATTAAAACAACATTTCGTTCACTTGATAGAACTAATATGTTGAAGGGTTTTTGTGGATGAAAATTTTGAGTGTCAATTTTATACATTTATTAAAACCTAACCAAGAGCAGTTGAAAAATGCAACTATATAAAGATCCTCTGGCAGGAATCGAACCTGCGGTGGAGTACAATCAAATCCGAAATCAAACTTGTGATTACAATTGATTGGCTAGTTAAATTTTATGCTATAATTTGATTGGTTCTCTTAGGTGCAAGAACTTCAACATGATACGATTAATTCTCAAAATAGCGCGATGTGGGAATTCATTCGATGACCAGGTTGCAGTGGTAATGGTCAGATCATCTCACAGATGACACTGCATAATGCACGCAATGAGTAAAAATATCTTGTAAATTTTTCTTTTTTGTGAAAAGCATCAGGTTGATTGATTTTTTTACCAAGCTTGCAATCCATGAGCTCAAATCTTCGTCAATAAAATCGTATGTGCAGTGATGAAAATCTTAAAAGGCTTGCAGATTGAAAGCTTTGCAACGTTTTCAAGTAGACGTATGTAGCGTTTTTACCTGTGAATTGTTCGCAAAATATGTCTGAATAAAGTGGTACTGTCATTAAAATTTTTATTGTTTCAAACGAAAGAACTCCTAAAACTGTAAAGTAACTTCTTTTGAAAAAATTGGTTCCCACGATTTGTTCTTGAGATATTTCATTTTGTTTGAAACTATGTGACGTCATTTACTCAATTACATATATAATGAGCTATCAGTAAATATAAATGTTATGTATTTTGCTATTTTTGATGGATTTGTTTAAAAAAACAGTATGCTTAATGATGTAGGTTAAATAATGGATAATAAAATAAATGGATAGGAAACTAGCTGACGTGACCTAATGTTTTCAATGGGCTGATGGCGTGATTGGATGTTGAAACCTAGTTGCAAACCAGATTCTCAGTCAAAAACGGCATGTTTAGCAATAATACATGCAGCTAAACATTTTAGTCAAAGAGCAAATAAATATAACTACGCCATTCTACGATGAAATCTCTCAGTATTTCCAGTCAATTTTAGCAAATATTTCAAGCACTAAACAGTGAAAAATGCATCGCAAATTTCGTTAAAATTGGCGACGCCAATTTCATAGCTACAAATGTAAAAAAATACAAAACAAAGAAGAAAAACATTTACCTTGAATACTTTGTCGTGGCTTAGGCATGTTTTTAAAACAATTAGACCAGTTTATGTACTAGATAAAACATGAGCAGCCAATCTGTATCTGATATACGGCAAACTCGAGCCGAAGGCGAGAGTTTGTATATCAGATACAGATCGGCTGCTCATGTTTTATCGTACTTAAAAAATGACCCATCGTATGAGTTATGAGTTCATTAGCAAAGTAATTTTAAAAATAAACATTGTCTAAGCCGAGAAAATCAAAGCTGAAGTTTATGTAAATCAGGACAAATCTTTATCCGACTTACAAACATTGATTAAACATTAATTTCTTTTGTATTTTCCTCGTGAATTATTAATGGTTTTTTAAGCTTCAATATTACTCTTTTAAAGCGGAAAATATAGCGAAATAACAAAAATGCCGAGAACTTTGGTATATATTCGCAATATGCGTGACGTCACAGATTGCAACTAGGTTGAGACTGTGACGTCAGGAAGTTTCCTATCCAGTTATTTTACAATCCATGGTTATATTAACAAACATGCCGCATCTTTGAAAAGATTTTGATAAAAAATAACAAAGACACACAACAATTTGTCAATTACTTATATCTCATATATGTAATTGAGTAAATGACGTCACATGGTTACAAACAAATTGAAATATCTCGAGAACTAAGCATGGGAACAACAATCTTCAAAACAAGTTTTAAGAGCATTTTCGTTTAAGAAAATAAAAATTTTAATGACAGTGCCCCTTTAAACGCACCCAAGACAATGTTGTCTTACCTTCATTTTATTTACTTTGACATTTATAACATCTTGAGTTTGCTTCATCACGTCAACATTTTCCTAAATTAAAGTAGAAGTGTTAAGATATCTCAGAGATGACACTGACCCCTGGGGGCAATGAACCTATATGCTGAAATTGTATTGCTCCGACTCCCTGCTTCGCCTCATATTAAAACAACATTTCATTCTCGCGGTTTTTTGTAGATGGAAATTTCGAGTGTAAATTTGATACATTTATTTTGACTTAACCAGGAGTAGCGGCGAAAAATGCAACTATATATGCCCTCTGGTAGGGATCGAACCTACGGTGGAGTGCAATTTAGTGCGAAATTCGGTGTGATTACGATTGATTGGCTAGTTAAATTTTATGCTTTAATTTGATTGGTTCTCTTAGGTGCAGAACTTCAACATGATGCGATTAATGCTCAAAATAGCGCGATTTGGGAATGTTAATGGTCAGATTTCTCACAGATGACACTGCATAATTTTGATTAAGTATACACGCAGTGAGTAAAAATATCTTATAAATTTTTTTGTTTTGTGAAAAACATGAGGTTGATTGATTTTTGACCAAGCTTGCAATCCATCAGCTCAAATCTTCGTCAATAAAATTGTATGTGCAATGATGAAAGTCTTAAGGCTTGCAGGTTGAAAGCTTTTCCAAGTTTACAAGTAGATAAAAATGGCGTTTGCACCAGTAAAATGGAATTGTTCGCAAAATAAGCACTAAAGCACGCCACACAATATTGTCTTACCTGGATTTGATCTACTTTAACATTTATAACATCTTGAGATTCTCTGATCTCGTCAACATTTTCCTAAATTAAAGTGAAAGTGTTAAGATATCTCAGATGACATTGACCATGATCATGACCATGAGTGACTACAAATCACCACAGGTGGGCCACGAGTGACTACGGATGACCACGAGATACAAGACGATTCAGAATGCAAGACGCAGAAAAAAAATCTCATCGTCTGTGAAAAAGGGCAGAACAATTGTTACAGGGAATATATTCCAACTTCACTTGTTACGGCATAAGGAAATACTGCTTTTATAAGCAAACTAAATGACTTTTTATTTTTGTAATATGACGACGAAACTTTTATCTGCCCAAGAAAATTGTCAAGATTGATGCGATAAACTTATTCTTAAAATTCTGGCGGTAAGACACTTTACTCGAAAGAAAAGTACAAAGCAATGGTTGACACAATACGACAAGTTTAATTTGTATGTAAATCCTGTTTTTGGTGACACAAGAACCCTCTCAAATGAAATAAATATTACTAGCTACCCTCACAATATACGAACACTAATGACTCCCCCTCAAAAATATATGAATAGTAATTACTCCCCCTCACTGCTCTCCCTCAAAAAAGGGCCGGGTTTGATCGACCGCTATAATACTTCTGCTGCCTACTTCTTTCCGAAAATTTCGTCCTCTAAATTATTTTGGAAACCTTGTCCTTAACACAAAAAGTATGAATAGACACCCTGTAAAATGTATGACCAAAAGGAGATCTACAAAAAAACACAATATTAATCACCATGCAACCTAAAAAGGACAAAAACATCATCAGATTATTGACTCCACGAGAGCACTTTTAATAATCTTAGGATCAAGATTCATCTCTTAGATTCAATGTTCCATGTCTACTCGGAATTTGACTAAACACTATCGTGCATCAGATGATGATCAATCTGCAGTTATCAGAATGAGAAAATAATTTGAGTTGTTTTCATTGAATGAAACTGTGTTTTTGAGGGGAATGAATAGAATTAAGAGACGTAGTTTAATTTATTTCTGCTATAAGTATGAACATTTGTGAAGTTGACGAGCATCTACTGCACTGTAACGCTTACTCACTGATAGTCTTCTGTCAATGTCTTCATCACTGTTCGTATGAGATTTTGAAAATTATATTGATGCCATGCAAATCTACATACAAGTTATCTTGACTTTCATTAAACATTTACATACCATACTTCCTACAGTCTATGTTACTATATATTCACTATATTTACATTCCACAATATTTTGTTGAGTTATAAAAGGCAAAGATTACAATATTAAGTTTTCTATTCATATGATTATAAAACCTCGAAAATGTTGATGTAAAATGTATGCTGTAAAGCGTATCATTCAAAACTAGTTGTGAGGTTTCACTGCAGCAGTTGCATAATATTTTTTCTCTTTCATTCCTGGCAGTTCTTTCCACTGATCATCTCCCATTGTGAAACTTTCTACTGAGTTGAGATTTCCCTCCTCGTCATTCGCTCCTCCCAATACAACAATGACGTCATGCATGGTGACCGCAGAGGCACCACGCCTATTGTGTTTCAGTGAAGGTAATCTGTCACTTCGTCCAGTCTCAATGTGATACATGATGACGTCATTTAAATCCTGATTATTCTTATGCAGCCCGCCGACGACAATGATCATATTGCCCCAAGTAACTGAGGACATTTCTGAGACAGGCTCGGGTAGCGATGGACATGGCTTAATCTCGTTCTTGATGAAATCATACACAACAACGCTGTCTGTGGCATCTTTACTCTTGTCTGTTGTTGATCCTCCCAAGATAAATAGCTTGCCGTTAACAATCTCCGCTCTGTGGTTTCTCCTTGGTTGAGGCATTCGTGCGAGAAGCTTGACAATATAAGGCGGGGCAAGGGATAGTTCATAAATTGCATCGGATGATTTGTCTTCATTCCAGTTATGTCCTCCTATGATATATAATTTATTTTGGTAAACTGTGACGTCATGGGCAGATAACTTGACAGGCAGTTTAGCATCAAACATCGTCCATCGCAAAGGATGCTGGTTCATCTTTAAAATTTCGATCGAGTCAGTACCAGCTTCACTATCCGAACCTCCGGTAACGATGACGTCACCACAGAATAGGAAGTTATACCAGAAGCGTAACTCTAGTCGTTTCCCTTATTGTTTGACGTCCACGAAAATTTTAACTCGCTCACGTCAGGCCACGCCATCCTGGCTAGTACAGCCGGAAGTTTTTATCAGGATTTGGTAGGTACAAAGTGCCGGTTGTACTAGCCAGGATGGCGTGATTGATGACGAATCGCTTGTAAAAACGCGGACAAATATTTGCTCGAGTTACGCTTCTGGTATAACTTCCTATTCTGTGACGTCACCGTTGTAAACACATGATGCTGATACTCTTCGAGCGAGATTCATTCCTGGTAGTTGAGATGACTTGCCTTCTACTATGCTGTATTTTTCAACTGTATTCGATACACCTTTAACCCCTGGGGCGTTAGAACCGCCAAGAATAATAATATCTTGGTTATTGGCTGGAACTGCTGGATCTATAGCTTGAGCGCCATTGTTGTTTACATTGCTTCCTGGCAATGCTTGCTGAACCATTATCATCATTTTTTCAAACTGCTGTCTCATCTCGTCAACACTTTGCTGAATTGAAAATAAAATACTTCGATGACTAGGTCACAGTGTTGCCCTCGTCATTCTCAACGCCAAAGGACATACCCGCAGCTGATATTAAATAATATTTTACTGGAAGTTGAACTCCTTTTCGACGGCAATTTTTGCGAAGGAATGATAAAATATTTACTATGGCTAAATTCCACTTAAGGTAATTCCGCAGTAATTGTTCCCGAAATGAGAATGTGCTGAAACTTCCCAAGCACGGAGTTTATGATATACTTAAAGTAAAATCACACAAAAAAGTCGGGGTCACCGAACTCGTTAAGAAGATATGACAATCACAATATACCACCTTTACTCCAATATGGCGCCATCTTGACGCTCATTACGAGTAACAGCAAAATCACAACAGCTCGATATTTATTGACGCTTTTAGCACGGATTTTGCGTTAGTAAACCTATCTTGTAATTATTTTTTAAAAAATATTGTGTTTTGAGCAAAATGAAACTACTAACGTGTACAATACTGATCCACAAATGTCTTTTCCACATTTCTTTACATATCTTTCTTTGAGAACATGCATTGATAAAGGATTTTTTTTCAAGATCCTGAAATGATTTTTCTTTTAATTTCGGATATGAAATGTAAAATGCATTAAAGAAATAAATTATCAGTTAAAAAACGGGGGTCATCGATCTTTTTAGGGAATTGTGGCATTAAAACGTGAAATAGAAGTAAATAAATATACTACAGACACAGGGAACCCTAGCTACACTTTTGTATGCCTTTCAGAAATGTCAAAAACCTTTCTCCAAACATATATATATACCTGCAAATAACAACGAATAGCATAAGATTATTGTGATATAGAATGACATTTTTTTATATTCTCTTTCATACCAATCACAAAAAGTCTTCCTACACCATACATGTATGTTTTTGCTCTACAAAAATCCTAGAAATCCTATACATTTTCTTATCAAGCGTCTATAAATGTATTTATTTATTTATTTCAGTTGGTCTTGATTAACAAATACATTCATTCTATGTAGTCTAAAGATCGTTGGCGAGTTGAATAACATGAAATTAAAAACTGTATAGTCCAGCGCTCTACAGAGATTGGGCACAAGTTGTTATGTACGCTTTAACTGTTTAAGTACATCCGAAATTTTATTTCGTTATCTAACTTACACTTTGATAGAAATATAAAGGGTTAATCTGGTCAAAATTGTGTTAGAGCATGCGCAGTACAGTAAAAACTTGCGCATCAAGCTATTTACCTGTAAGGCAGAACCCAGATAATAATTTCCTTTCAATGTTCAATGATCAGCGAAATTACTGTCTTCTTTTGTGTCAAGGGAGATCGCAGATTTCTTGGAAAATTTATCTGTAAATAATAATGAAAAATTAACACTAAAGAACCTCTCAACCTTGTTTAGCTATCAAGTCTACAGAGATTGATGATGAGTTCTTATCCTTTATAAGTACACGAGATTTAAACTCTCAACGTTCAGGAATCTAGTCCACTGCTCTACCTGTTGAGCTATCAAGTCTACAGAGATTGATGATGAGTTCTTATCCTTTATAAGTACACGAGATTTAAACTCTCAACCTTCAGGAATCTAGTCCACTGCTCTACCTGTTGAGCTATCAAGTCTACAGAGATTGATGATGAGTTCTTATCCTTTATAAGTACACGAGATTTAAACTCTCAACCTTCAGGAATCTAGTCCACTGCTCTACCTGTTGAGCTATCAAGTCTACAGAGATTGGTGATGAGTTCTTATCCTTTATAAGTACACGAGATTTAAACTCTCAATCTTTAGGAATCTAGTCCACTGCTCTACCTGTTGAGCTATCAAGTTTACAGAGATTGATGATGAGTTCTTATCCTTTATAAGTACACGAGATTTAAACTCTCAATCTTTAGGAATCTAGTCCACTGCTCTACCTGTTGAGCTATCAAGTCTACAGAGATTGGTGATGAGTTCTTATCCTTTATAAGTACACGAGATTTAAACTCTCAACCTTCAGAAATCTAGTTCACTGCTTTACCTGTTGAGCTATCAAGTCTACAGAGATTGGTGATGAGTTCTTATCCTTTATAAGTACACGAGATTTAAACTCTCAACCTTCAGAAATCTAGTTCATTGCTTTACCTGTTGAGCTATCAAGTCTACAGAGATTGGTGATTTCTTATCCTTTATAAGTACACGAGATTTAAACTCTCAACCTTCAGGAATCTAGTCCACTGCTCTACCTGTTGAGCTATCAAGTTTACAGAGAGTTATCAAGTTTACAGAGATTGATG